CTCGAGTTGACCGTGCACCAAACATCAAAGACTTTTCCGCGAACGTGGCTAGGGTGATTATACTGCACTGATAAGAGCATCAAAAGAGTCTTCTTGAAAGCCTACCTTTCGAATGTCTTGCGAGTGTGTTACAAATTGTTCCGTCCTCGAGCCCCCAGGGTCCCCGGCCCCGCTTCTCCTGTGCCTCAACAGCGGCCTTCACCGCCAAGAGTCGGTCCACCACTTCACAGTGGTCCTTCTCCGCCGCCAAATGCAGTGGAGTTCGGCCTCAGATTCTGAGGGAAGCGGCGCCGCCAGGGCCGATAGATGCTGCCGTTGCTCGTTGATAATTAGGAGTTCTGGGCCCATGCAAACTGATGCATCATTTCATTCAGGCCTGTCACGCGTCTCGTTATCACTTCGATTCTACTCTCCCTCTTCCTGGCATTTTGAACCCCCCTCAGAAATCTGATCGACCTTCCAAGCCTTCCGAGCCCACAAGCCTCTCCGGTTCCCCTCTGTCGGCGCCACCCTTCGCCTCCAAGTCGGCCTTGGCTTCCGTGAGCCGGTCGACCACGTGGAGGTGGCCCGCTTCGGATGCCAAATGCAAAGGCGTGAGGCCTCAGAGGTGCAGAAGGGTGCGGAGGAAGCTTCAATCAGCTCGATCCATGCTTTGCAGATGGAGGGAGTCACCGACAAAGACTATGAAACTCAAACACTCTCGGGTGTTGTTTGCACGCTATGGGAAGCTCGGCCCTTTTCAAGGAAAGGGCCTTCACTGCGGCAGGGATTTTTGGACCCACAAAGCTGCAACAATTTGCTTCATGCAGCTTGTAAGGTTGTTCAAGGTTGACGTCTGGCTCTGCTGGCTCGTCTTTTGCGGTTGCCAAAGCATGTCGACTACATTCTTCCTCTAAGTTTGGGGAAAGGGTGTTCCAAACTGTACCGTTTTGAACTGCGCACGCGGAGATCTGGGGCGCCCAGCCTTCCTCGTCTGTGGCTTCAATCTCAGCTCCCGAAGTCACTAGGCGCTCAACCTCCTCCTCCTCTGAGGGCGGCGAGGTGCAGCGCGGAGCGGCCTCGGACGATGTGAGTTCGAACGTATTTCAATCTCTGTCTGTGAAACGAGTGAGTGATCACAACAGTCAGAACCTCTGAATGTCGATATGACCTGAAGATACTAAATCTGCAATTCTGAGCTCCAAATATCTCCAAATCCATTCCACATCGCTAACTTTGAGTGACTTGGACCAGCCTTTCACAAGCTCTGACCCATTCTTAGCCCCTCGCCTTCGGCATCAACCTCTGCACCTCGGCAGCTGAATCGGAGCTGGACCTGACAATGGAACTCAAAAAGAGTCGAAGGCATTCCTGGTCCGAAAACGATTTGAAATGACAAGTTGTCTCAAGAGATTCAACACAATTCAAGGTATTTCTTGAACACCCGACTTTAAGAGACAAATACTTGGCAACACACGCTTGACTAACGTCAGTAGCACTGCCTTCTGGTGGAGCTCATGCAGCATCAAGGTTCTTGAACTCTAACAATGCACACATACTTCAACTTTATGGCAGTGCGAGGGCTGTTGCACATTGCCGAATTCACAAGGCAGTTTGTGTTGATTTGCTGAACAGAGGGCGACCCGAAATATCTCGAAGTCATGGATGGGCCACTGACATAATGACGTCTTCTCTTAGGCCCATATCACGTGCCTCTGTGCCCAATCATTGAGCCGCAAACAGCTACAACTCGTCAGGTATCAGAAGTGCCACACGTGGCTTCAGCTGCCTTCACTATCGCACTTGTCACTTGTCAAGCAAGTTGCAGCGAAACAAAGTTCCTCTTCGTTGGCGCGAAACGGTCGTCGTTTCACTTTTCTCACGCAAAGCTGCCTTGACTCTTTTGAGCCATTGCAAAAAGCTGTTGAACCTATCCACCAAGTATTTTCTTGTTCAGAAGCGGCAAGTCAACCTGCTCTCCTTCTCTCACCCTCCCTCTGTTGGGCAGCGCTCACTAAGGCTGTTGAATCCTTTTCCTCGGTGGCACGATTTTAGAAGAATCCTGCTTGATGAGAGAATCGTGACGCAAGGACCCACATCGCTCGGATCTGTTCAATGCTTTTCAACCTTTTCTGGACCAAAGTGCTAGGAACCTAGCCTCATCGACGCATTCACATGCACGAACAGCACGAGCTGGTGCCACCTCGCTGGCGACCTTGGCTTCTTGACATTTTCAGAGTCGTTTGAGGCCGGACGAGGACGTATACCGTGGTGACTATTCCGACTTGACAAAGGTGGTTTCCCACAAATGTTTAAAGCGATCTTGGGTTCATGGCCACTTGAAAGCATTGATCACTTGGACAAACGAAGGATTACAATCACGCATGATGTCGGCTTGCTCAGGCAAACACGGATATCGTCTTCAAAGTCTTGACGTTGATCTGACAAAATACCACCCTGCAAGGAAAGCAATCCTTTTCCTCTCACCTTTGAGATGACGAGAAAGCGTGAAGCAACTCCACCTAGCCGCCTATGATTTATCAAGGCTTTGCAAGTATGGTATTGGCTTTGCATGTATTTCTCCAAGGCAGGAAGTCGACTTCCAAATGCGACACACAACGGCCTGGGCGTCGTCTTTCATGTCAGGCGCAAAATCAGCATTCCTGAGATTCCTCTCGTCTAGGACATCGACATAGAGGTTTGGCTTTGACTTCCTCAAGTCTCCTAGGGCTTGAAGCCCTCTGTGCCCAATGTTGTTGCGTCCTAGCCTGAGCT